TCACAACTCACCTGAAATAGCAAAGGCTTGCTAAAATTCTATGAAAGTAACTGTCTTCATACCTGGTGACTGTAGAGTATCAAGCACTATTTATTTCACTGACAAAAACTTACATGACTCTTTAGAAGTAATAACTGCCTAACTCTAAGAATTTAAAAATCATCGAGTCAAAGCAAATTATAATAGCCATGCAAAAGGAAAATGAACTAAAACCTGATAAGAATGGTAGAGTCTGAGATATTAAAAAGAACAATTTAGCCTTTATATCTATGCAACCTTAAAATATGTCAAGTCTTAGATCACACTTCCCCACTGGTAAAATAAGAAAGTTAAAGTATAAAGCAAGAAATCACTCTCTTCATCTCTGACATTAATTTCATTAATGTCCCTTAAGAAAGTCAAGAGACCTTAGAAGCCACCATTAATCAATTAACTTATCCAACTTCTTTATTTTCTCATATATATTTTATTGTAAAAATATTGTACAGAGAGGTTACATTTACATAAGTAGGGTAATGAGTTCATTTCCTATTGAGCATTGTTACCTCCTCCTTTGTTTTTCCTACCATTGCTTCCCACCACACCTCCCCAACTCCTTTCCCTTCACTCCGAAATTGTAAATTTTATTTTCATCATAGTGTCTTGTAATCTCACTGGGTCAACCTGTATCCTTATTTTAAGCATTTTGTTATATCCCTTGCCCTCTCGAAATTATAAATATATATATATACAAGATGCAGAACACCAGAATCAAATACAATGAAAACAGGGGTTATACCATGGGGGAAGAATATACAAAAGAAACAAAAAAAACACATAGTGCATTATAAGTACATTAAAAACAATAGCAAGAAAGAAAAAGTCACTTGTGTCCCTGAATTGGGGTTCATTTCACTTAACATCATCTTATATGGTCATATGTACAGAGCTTTGGACTTCTGCTTGTCCTAGACATGTACTAGTTATTGCAAATAAAGGAAACCATGGGACCTATGTTTCTTTGGGCCTGGCTTACTTCTTAATATACTTAATACTTAATATAATTTTTTCCAAGTCTTTCCATTTCCTAACAAATGGGACAGTGTCAGTCATTCTTTCTGATGAAGGTATAGAATTCCATTGTATAATATATATATGTATAATATATAATATAATATACAATATATATGTATAATATATAATATAATATATAATATATGTATAATATATATATACACATACAATGGAATTCTATGCCTGTATTATATGCTTGTATATATATATATATATATATATATATATATATGTGCTTGTATATATATATATATATATATATACCACATTTTCTTGATCCATTCATCTACTGAAGGGCATCTAGGCTGGTTCCATATCTTAGCTATGGTAAATAATGTTGCAATAAACATAGTTGTGCTGGGAGCTTTGGTATGACCTTGTTTGTGATCATTTCGGTAAATGCCCAAAAGTGGGATTGCTGGGTCATAGGGGAGCTCTATGTGGAGTCTTTTGAGGAACCTCCATACTGCTTTCCAAAGTAGTTGAACAAGTTTACATTCCCACCAGCAATCCAGTAGGGTTCCCTTCGGTCCACATCCCCTCCAGAATCTGTTGTTACTAGATTTCTTGGTTATAGCCATTCTAACCGTGGTGAGGGGGAATCTCAATGTCTTGATTTTTAGCGAACTTCTTAATGTGCTATCACATATCATTTACAATGCCTCAAATATGTTACATTCATCACTATTTCTTACACCGGGTTATTTGCTCTTCACCAAACACGTATCTGTGCCTTTAGTCATGCATATACTTTTACACATTTCAATTCTAGGTTGAATTCCACCTCCTACAGGAAACTCCTGATAGAGAACCATGCAGGAATTTTCAAAATTAAAAGTTTAGCCAGTGTTCAGTCCCAAGTAGAATTTTAAAGGTCATTTTCATAAATCAAACATTTGTTTATTCATTATTTATCAGGCCCTAAGCCAGAGTGAGCTAACTGATACTGGGCCACAGATTACTTTTATTTGGATAGTGTACTGTTTTCTTACTGAATACCTTCAGGCAGGTATTATACAGTCTGGGTTGCTATATGCCTACTACTCCAACAGTGCTCTCACACACACCTCCTTCATTCCTGGAGCATTACAGGCATTTAGGTTTGCTCTTTCAGTCTATTTTCTTTTATTCTTTAACATTGAAGCAAACAGTATTTTTTGAATTCTTCTATGCTTAAGCTTAGACATAGACCAAAATGCAGTTTCCATAATTCTAAATAACTTCAGAGCCTTCTTTTAAAATGATTTTTACTGTTGTTTATAATAGGGGAACAGATGGGGGTAAAACCTAAGGACATGGAGATTAACCAGTTCCTCCTCCAACCCATCCTTCTCTTTAGTCTCCTGAAGGTATTTACTGTCTTGCTGGGAAGAATGGGTTTGGACCTGGGAATTGTTATATTACCTTGCCGCTTCTGAAACACACATTATTCTAAATGGAATTGTTTACAACAGAGACAACCTACCATCTTCTAGTTTATTATCTTTCTATAGGCAAAAGAAAACTATATAATAATGGTAACTGCTAAAATGACTATAAAAGCTTTGCTTTTGAGCAAAAACTAAAACTATAGCATGTGACTCAACTTTTGACTACTCCAATTCAGAATTTCTTTCATTAAAACTCGAACCCATAACCTTCGCTTTATTTCTTCCTCGGACTCACTCTCCTGTGATGATTTAGTATTTTCACAGCCAGTGGTAATGATTTAAAAGTGCTTCATTCCCTCTTCTGCTATCCCTCAAAAGGCATATGTCACATTAAATGAATTTCACTAACAGTATTCTTTTCAGCTTTGAGCTGAATTTGACCTAGTGTAGATAAAGAAGTGGGATGTTTAATTTCCAGCAACAAACACGTATAACACACTTCTTTTAAAGGACTTTTTCTTTACAATGCTAATTTTTCATTGGTGGTTTTACACTAGCTTTTTTCTTTTTCTTCTTTTTTCTTGTTTTGTAGGTTGTGAGGCTTCAACTCTGGGCCTGAGCGCTGTCCCTCAGCTCTTCAGCTCAAGGCTAGCGCTCTACCACTTGAGCTACAGAGCCACTTCCGGTTTTCTGGTGGTTTATTGGAGATAAGAGTTTCACGGACTTTCCTGCCCAGGCTGGCTTTGAACCGTGATCCTCAGACCTCAGCCTCCTGAGTAGCTAGGATTACAAGCTTGAGCCACCGGCGCCAGCATACGCTAGCTTTTTTTGCAAGAAGTAAAGGTTTATGTTTCTTGAACTCACAATAGTCCCTAGGTAATCAGCATCTCTCTCACCACCAAATGCAGAAAAATGCTTGTCTTTTCCTGAGGAGAGCTGTGAGTAATTAAAATTTGGCAAAGACTGAGCATGTGTCACAAGAACCTGTTAAAATTAAAATTGCTTGAATTACAGCTAGTTTGATAAAATTCTTGGCAGAATGACATGTTCTCTTATAAGCACGTACCAATAATGCATATTGGGGGTGATGTTGAAAAGAGACTTTAAATCCCCAAGAGGATTTCAATAACTAAAAAGTTACAAAGTCCCCATTGCAGATACAATGAATAATTGTTGTGCTTATTTAGTGATCTCCAGAAAAATCTGAGAGACCAGGTTGGAACCTTTTAACTTCCCTATTGCCAGCCTCTATGCCTTTCTCTCTTTTATCACTTTTCAAATTTCTATGCCATAATATGTGTCTATCAACTTATCTAAAGTGAATGGTTGGACATTAAAGCTCTGATGAAAGATGAAATATTTGCTTTTACATAGCTAGTGTATTAAGTATGTAAACTTTAAGCATACTCTAAACGTGGATTATTCATTATGTTAGCCATTTTTTTGTTTGCTTTAAGCACGTTATAGGATTCTATCATTCCTACCTAAAACCTAAAATTGTATCTTTCTTTCTAAAAATGTGTCTTATTTCTAAAAACTAAGCTGGCTTAATAAACCCAATTTAAAAATAATTTCTATGTGTTCTTCTATCATAAGATCTTTTGTTTCTTAAGGATTTGAAATTGATTAATCATATATTCACAAAATAATTGGCCATTTATTAAAATCCATATCAGCCAAATACTGTATATTTTACCATATGTAAGGGGTTATGTGTTTTTGTATTTTTTTACTCTTTCTTTTTTTTTTTTTTGGGTCCGGTCGTGGGGCCTGAACTCTGGGTCTGGGCGCTGTCCTTCAGCTCTTCAGCTCAAAGCTAGCGCACTACCACTTGAGCCACAGCACCACTTCCGGCTTTTTTTTTTCCTGCTTATGTGGTGCTGAGGAATGGAACCCAGGGCCTCAGGCATGCAAGGCAAGCGCTCTACCACTGAGCCACCTTCCTAGCCCTTATTTTTTATTCTTGGTAAACAAAGCTGTAAGTAAAAATCACAGCTAAATATCACTTTAGTTCTTCCCAGTCAAGTAGTAGAAAAGTACTAAATGTTCTAATGTTATACAAATTTGTTCTCAGTGTTAGCAATGGACTATCAGGAAAACTGGGTAATTATGACTCCTTCAGGAAATTCTCTGAGTATAAGTTTTAAGGTTAAACACTATATTAATTGAATACAAAAATCGCTCCCTCTCTCCCTTCCTCTCTGTCTCTCTGTCTCTGTCTTTCTGTCTGTCTCGTCTCTGTCTCTGTCTCTGTCTCTGTCTCTGTCTCTGTCTCTCTCTCTCTCTCTCTCTGCCTCCACAAAAGATTAACTTTTTCTTTTCAGGCTTGAACTCTTGTATGAAAAGTCTCTGAGGAGTATACTCTAGGAATAAGACCTCTTGCTCCGATAATTCTAATGATATACCAGTCTTCATAACCTCCATGGGTCCTTTTATGAAGTCACAATAGCTCTAACATATCTTCACACAGCCATGTAGTTTATATAAAATTTAATAGTATGCACTGACTTCCAAATTAATTTCCTAGGAGGTTAATTATCCATGCAATTGCATAGCTTTATAGAGAAAATAACACTGGTCACTTTGGCAGCACAAATGCTAAAAATGGAGTGACACAAAGAAGATTAGCATAATACTGTCCAAAGATGGCATGCAAATTCATGAAACAACCCTTATTTTTAAATTGACATTTGAATTGAAACCCTTTGTACAACTATTTAACGATTAATTTAAAATAGCTACTTTGAAAGTAAAATAATAGTAAAAAAGTAATATAAAGCTGGAAATTCTTATTTTATAACCTATGAAATTAAGTCATAGATGTGGCAAACATCTATAGTCCTAGCTACCCAGGGTATATAGATAGTCCATAGTTCAAGGCCAGCCTAGACAAAGGTTGTTAGATCCAGTATAAAATACAAGTTAATTTAGCAGTACACATCTGTAATCCAAGTACATCTGCTACTCATGCAGTAGAAAGATCATGGTCTAAGGCTACCAGAGCCATGCAAGGAGACCTATCTGAAATACACTAATTGGAGAAGAACTGAGCACATGGGTCAAGTAGATATAACTTGCTTAGAAAGTGTAAGCCCCTGAATTCAACCTCAGTAACATAGGAAGAATATGTAAATGTAAGTATCAATTTCAACCTTCAGTGAATAAAATTCCCTGAAATGTGTAGTAAAATTGCTTCTTAGTTTCCCATTTCTTTCTTAATAACTGAACCATTGAGTATCTTTACATGCAAAGTTATGTTGAGGTAGTAAGCACTAATTGTAAAGTAATCACATGCCTGGTCATGATCAAACTAGTCATCTCAGCACTAATGATTTGCACTACCAGTTTCTTTACTGTATATGATTATGTTAATGTCATCCTACTTACATTTCAATTAATTAACATTTTGAAAATTTTATTTAAAATTTGAAAAGGTCCCTATTCAAAATGTTTATTAAATATCCAGAAGAAAACACAAATAACTGTTCCTTTAAATCTGAATATTTTTATTATCTCTAAGTAGTTGTACAAAGGAGTTGCCATTCAACAGAACAGTTTATGAATACAGTGACTCTAGATCAATGTCATCCCTTTCAACATCCTCAACCACCCCTCCCAACACATCCCTTTTCTTTCTTATCTTAATTTTAGGTTATATATTGAATTTTTGCCATTTAATAAAGCAGCCTATGTGTACAAAGCATCTTGATCTGTGTCATCACTTCAACATCTTCACTTTATTTAGGCTTAATTTATGCTTAACTGCACATAGTAAGGGGTTTCATTATATTTTCATATATTAATAAGAGGTACTGTGGCATGATTACTCCTGCATTGTTTCTCAAAACATTCTAATAATTAAATGGTGTAGAAGGTAAGTGGATTTATATCTAGTCAGAAACAAAGAGCCATCATTTATGAATGATCAACTTGATATGAAACCCTTAAATACATAAAAGTTTTACTCTATGTTCACACATTCAATGCTCTCATTCAATTGTACTGCATAATGTTATAAAATTCAATTATTCATGCAAAAATATTATACTACTAGACTTAAAATGTTCTGTGTATTGGAATTTTAATGTGTTATTCCCCCTTAGCATTTAATCTAAGCAACATAGTGATTTTTTTTCTCTCCATCAAGAGAAATAACCATTTATAACTTCATGAATGACTAAAGAACATGTTATTTGTATTCAAGAAATACACCAAGGTAATAGCAAGGGATGTAAAACAAATCTGAAGTGTTGAAAATATTTTAGTTCTATTTAAAAATAATAAATATTGCCTTTTTTTCTTGTAGAACAATTTAAGTGACTAGGCTAATCTAATAATAGGTTGAATATGAAAGGTTAGGTCTACATGCATTGTTCCATTGTTTTGTTTCAGTAAATAATGATTTCTGAAAATTAAGTGGCATTTATCATTTAGTTTTAAATTTTCTTCATTTTCCTTCTTTTTCCATGGTATTGTATTGACCTAGTAAATGTGCCTCTACAAGAAATACTTAAACTACATTTTACTGACAACCATTTAGTCCTCACTTAAGCTTACAAACTAACTAGCAACAGGATAAAGTCTAGGTTTTTATTTATGACCTTTTTCCAAAGCCAGTTTCTCTTGACATCTCTTTGTAGACATCTCGGAAGCTATGAAGTAGAGACAGGAGACTGAAGCCTCTGCCCAACTGTCAACGACTCTTACTATAATAAGATCACATGTGAACAAGGTTGAGACAATAGACTGTCAGATACCGGCCATTTATGAGAACACACCTGTGACTTTTATAACTATACGTATTTTTCCATCTACTACCTTCAATTCTCCCTATTTAACCCAAGGCACAAGTTTGTTCCCCTCCAAAACAGCTGTAGATTTTAATGAAGTGTCCTTTCCCTAAGAAATATAGGTACCATATCATAAACATTTCTCTGTCCTTGACTAGGTCTCTTTGTTTTGCATATGGGGTCAAGTGGAAATCCTAGAATTTAGTTCTGTAGTCTAAACTTCCATTTTCACCTATATGCATGTATGTATATGCATATGAGTGAAAGAATGAGTCAACAAACATACACATATTTGCATATTTAACATCTATATGCCTATGTCCCATGAAACATGGAAATATGAACAAGAAATTATTTGTATTAAGTATTTTTAGCATGGAAATCTGAACAAAACATGACTTGAATTAAATGGTTCTTTTTAAAGGGGAAAATTCTGTCACAAATTTGAATGCATACACTAGATAGTCCTCTCAGGGGACTATATATAATTCATAAGGATATCTGCAGATTAGATAAAAAATAAAGTTGTTCTTTTTATTTATGTGGTTTTTTTCAAAGACCTTCAGTGTGTTCATCATTCCTGTGTAAATGTCGAAGATTTATTGGATTTTTTCCAAACAGACTAGAGTGTATATCTTAAAGAAACAGAAATGATTGCTTTTTACAATGCATTTCTGTCATAGTTTACAAAGCTTCATTCACAAAGGAATGTTACTGGTATTTCCATTAAATGACAATGGAGGAAACATTGGATACATAGGGTACAATGTAAGCTTAGATTGAGTGACTCTTTATTGGTGTTCAAACTGAAAATTACAGAAGAAAGAGCTATATAATTTCCGTCCACACAGATGCAAATCTATTTAAATAGTCCTTTGTTTATGTGACTGGGTAGGGACTGAGGTAAATCTAGACATGAAAACATTTTTATTGTACCTATCCTATATATTTTCTAGTCCTAATAATTGATATAATATCCTTAATGAATGATATCCATAAATATGCTGGAAATTTACTCATCATTGAAAGTATAACTGCTATGGATTTTGCATTCTATCCTGTACTTCTAATCTAACTTATCGTAAAAGATTCACCAGGAAAGTTATTTTGTCTCAACATTAATGAAACCGTCAGCACACTGTTTAGGTATCAGGTATTTCTTTTCAAGTTTATAGAAACAGAGCAGTAAAAAGAGCAATGTCATCTAATTGTGTTAATGTGCTTAAGTTGTAGCTTTCATATTTTGCCATCTCTTTAGGATTAATTGTACAACAACTAGGCAGGTGATTTATTCTTCCAATAGTTAAAGTCAAACCAAAAATTGCAAATACCTTGGAAATTGGAATAGACTTTTGATCAATTATGATCTGTTTAAAGGTATTCAGTTTAACTACATGCAAGAAAATATGTATCCTAGCTAGTAAGCTTTACAGATGATTTACCTTATACCTCAGACTGTGAATTTTGGTTAACTTAATGAATTAAGGTAGTTAAGGAGAGATATTAACTATAACAATAAAAGTTTTCTCATAAATGATTCACATCACATTTGATGACATTCACTATTGGTTATCTTCATCCTTATCATTCATTGTCTTCAGTAATGTCATGCTCAGCCACTGACAAACATATGGCAGGTGCCTGGTGCAATTCACATATTTGAGTTCAACTTGAATATCATGAAGTACATGACTATGAAAACAGCAAAAAGTGTCATTTATGTATTAGTAACTAGTTATTTCTGGTGTTGTAAAAAAATTAATTTTGACCATAGCAAGCATTCAATTGAATTTTCAAATAAATAAATAAATATAGCTAAATAACTTTTAAAAAAAAACTATAAAATTATGTTGGTATTAGTAACTTTAATGATCATAAAACTGCATTAAGATTATTTGTGAGCCTCTTTGATTTATTTTGGGAGGATGAGGGTTATTCACTGTCCCTGAACTTCTTTTGTTTAACACTAGTCTACCACTTGATCCATGACTCCATTTGCAACTTTTTGATGGTTAACTGGAAGTAAAAGTCTCGCAGACTTTCTTGCCCAGACTGGTTTTGAACCACCATCTTCAAATCTCAGCCTCCTGAGCAGCTAACATTAGCACTGGGCTATGAGTTTCTTTATGAAAGTAATATATTCCCATCATTAAGATATACAAAAATACTAAACTACTATAGCTACCCTTAGAAACTATATTTGTACAAACCCTTTTCTCATTCTCTGTCATCTATGTCATATTCTATTGCAAATTTTCAAAATATTCAAATTTTAGCCAACCAGAAAAAAGATGAGTTATACAACAGTTTAAAAATAATGCATGTTAACCAACATATCTGCATTAAAAAAACCTAGGTGGCTCAGTGGTAGAGCGCTTGCCATGCATGCATGAGTCCCTGAGTTCGATTCCTCAGCATCACATAAGCAAAAAGAAAAAAAAAGCTGGAAGTGGCACTGTGGCTCAAGTGGTAGAGCGATAGCCTTGACCTGAACAGCTGAAGGACAGCGCCCAGGCCCAGAGTTCAGGCTCCACGACCGGAACTCCCCCCCCCCCAAAAAAAAAAGACCTCCATGTTGCTGTCTTCATCTCTTGGACATGAGTGGTCTTCATCTCTTGGACATGAGTGGTAAGAAAGCACATTCTCAAATCTTGTGTGATAATTTTAAGGACATAAGGAATATAGCTAAATACACCAAATCAACCCTGGAAGATTTGAGGATTGTAAAAAGCAGCCTAGTTTATTTTGTTACTTGTCTATTATGTGACTTTTCCATTTTCTAGTTATCATCATCTTTACAATGGCCATTCTATGCCCACTAAGTACTGAATACTTTACTCTGATATACTCAAGCACAAAAAGAAATATCTAAAATCTTCTAATACTTCTA